TACATTATGAATATTACATTATTTTGTTTCAGCTAAGCTCTGAATATAGGTTTTATTGTGGTGGGAAGAGCAGTGGGTAGAATAGGATTCTTCAAATCTGGCAAACAGTCTAATTTAGAGAAATTGTCTTTTCTGGGTCTTAGATTCTTTTGTTATAAAATAAAGAAGTTAAGTAAAATGAACTGAAGTTCTTTTAATCTGTAGTTTTGTGAATATAATGAGTGAAGAAGGGAACTTCTAACATTCAACAACAAAATTAAACCAGAAGCTAAAAATATAATCTATCACTGTACTTTTTAATGCTACCAGTAAGATTTTTGTGATACAGATTACAATTTCAGTTATATATGACTTCATTTTGGATACTTATTAACTTTCTATGCAATAATTTGAATACACTTACCTTTGTCTATGTGTCTGCCAATTTGAAAGGTCTGTTTAATGCATAAAGAAATTTATTACTACACTAAAAAATACAAATATTCTTTTCTTTTGAAATATTAATCTACTAGTCTAATAAGAATGTATTCTCGGGCTGGAGAGGTGGCTCAGAGATTAAGAGCACTGACTGTGCTTCCAGAGGTCCTGAGTTCAATTCCCAGCAACCACATGGTGGCTCACAACCATCTGTAATGAGATCTGGTGCCTTCTTCAGACCTGTAGTCATACATGCTGTATACAAAATAAATAAATAAATCTTTAAAAAAAAAGAATGTATTCTCAACTTGAAATCATCAATAATAAAACATAAAAATTATTAAAATAAGTGAACAATTTATAAGTGCTTTCAAATGGACTATAATATAGAAAAATATGAGATATTAAAGTGACTATAAACCAAAAGTCTACAATAAATAATTCTGGTGTCCATATCAGAGGAGCAGCACATGGCAATTGACTTCAGGGGATCACCCTACCAGGAAGTGAAACCCTGATGGGCATATCTCAAATAGACATTACTCCAGGACCACAGACTGTGGTGGTATTCTAATTGTACTGAAATGTGATTTTGATTGTATGTTAATAAATAAAGTTGCCCGGGGGTCAGAGCTATTAGAGCCATAGACAGAGTGTGGCGGTGGTGGCACATGCCTTTAATCCCATAGATCTCTGTGTGTTCAGGGATACAGCCAGCATTGGAGACATATGCCTTTAAGACCTAGGGGGTTGTACATTCA